TGTGCTCTTCCGATCTGAATCTAGATTTGAATTCGAAATATAGATCCGATACTTTTATTATTCGAGTGTCTTAAGGGGAGATATACATCTAGCATGGTCGAAAAAATCGATTTTTTTTTGCATTTTCTTGAAGCTTGAGGTCTCAAGAATATCTGATGAAAATTGCAAGTCAATATCTCGATAAATAACGAAGTTACAGCCGAGAGAGTGAACCGTCTCCGAGAGCGCGCCGTGCCGCCTGTTTTGCGACCGAGCCGAGAGGCAGATAGCGGCAAGCGACCCTTCGAAGAGAGCGTGTCTAGACCTGTTTTACGATTCTATTGTGTTTTTGGGCGTGCTCGGGTCCAGGTATAACGGAAATATCACACGACCGTTATTCTTTGTCAGAAATTGGACGCGTTTCGTCAGTAGCTTGCCGTTCGTGCAACTGTGCGTTACAGTGAGTTTTCGTCTGTGAATAAATATTCTGAGGAAAATGGATAACAGATATAAAGGTTCTCGGGAAGCTCATCGATCCGGATCTTTTCGCAAAGATCGAAGCAAGAAGAAAATACCGCCCAAAAATCGACATACTGCGAAAAAGTAGAACTTTCGGACGAGAATATTAGTTCCAGTGCCAAAAAATTGAAGACTGATCGTGAGACATCCGCACCAGAAGATCCAAACATCGGGTATCGAATTTTGAATTTTCTGACAGTGTCTTCTGCCTTATCGGAATGTGTAAAATGCAAAAAGTGTGATAGTGATGTTCGATTCTCAATAGAAAGCACTCGAAGGCTCGGTTTTAAAATTGTAGTTTTGTGTTTATCATGCAAACCGATTTTCATTCCTTCGTGCCCGTACATCAAGACAGCTTACGAAATAAATACACGATTCTTTTTTGTTATGCGTTTATTGGGGATTGGTTTGCGTGGAACTATGACATTTTGTAGCCTCATGGATTTACCGCCTCCGGTTCAACAAACGACGTATGATATGATAATTGACAACATTCATTCTGCTGCTTCAAGTATTGTTCAATTGGTGTTAAAACAAGCTGTAAAAGAAGAACAACAGGAAATAACAAAACAAAATTCGAGTGATAATATCAAAAAACTGACCGTTTCAGGAGATGATACGTGGCGAAAATGTGATTTTTATATGGAGATGCGGTTCTCATTGGTCAGTTGACAGAAAAAGTCGTTGATTTTATTATAAAGTCTGCTTATTGTGCTGAATGTAACTATATTGGAATAAACACGCCAATACCGAGCAATATCAGAAATGAAAATCTAATTACAAAGAAAATTGCCAGGCGAATCATGTCGGATTGGCAAGCAAAATGGAAGTAGACGCCATGAAGGAATTATTTTCAAGATCTGTCGAAAAGCATGGAGTTATGTAATTTAATTACGTCGGGGATGGCGATTCTAAGTGTACACGGGATTAGTGAACGCGAAACCGTATGGTGATGAGATTGAGATTATAAAAAAAGAATGCGTGGGACGTTCAAAAGCTAATGGGAATCCGTCTTCGCGAATGCAAGAAAAAAAATCCTGGAATCGGCAGCAAAAACAAATTGACGGTAAAGTTTGTAGACAAACTGAACATTTACTATGGCTTAGCCATTCGAAGAAACAGTAACTCCAAGGATGACATGAAAAAAGCGATATGGACAACATTTCTACCATTACGGCTTAACAGACAGCCAGTCTGAACATCATTTTTGTCCCGAAGGCCCCGAATCATGGTGCAAGTGGCAACAAGCGAAAGCTAAAGAAGGACTGAGGAATTTCCGTCACGATTATTCAGCATTGCCAAAAACGGTGTTAGATGCCATCAAATCAATTTACGAAGTCCTCAGCAATGACAAATTGTTGGTACACTGTGTTGGCGGATACACACAAAACAGCAATGAGAACTTCAACCAACTTATTTGGAAGATAACTTCAAAAACGATGCAGCGGGGCCAAAATCATTAACATTGCTGCATTTCTTGCAACATGCACGTTCAACAATGGTGTCACGTCATTGTTAGAAGTCATGAACGTGTTAGGAATATCGGTCGGATCGGGCGCGCACTTGTACGCTGCGCAAGAAGACGAAACTCGCATAGCGAAAGCCGAGCTGCAAACGCAAGAACAGACAAAAGAAGGTCGAATACGGCGTCGACAACAAAAAAGAAGACATGAACATTCCGTCGACCGTAGAAGACTTACACTATGGGCCTGATATCGATGATTCCATGTAAGTTGACAAATTTTATAATTTATTCATTCCCAAATTTTCAAACGCGTTTTTCTCGAAACCACGTTTTTCAAATCGGTACTCAAAATTTCCCGAAAACCAATGAACCGATTGCCTTGAATTTTTTTGTGGTTATTCTATACATCATTATCTAGTACTTGTTATAGGATTTTTTTTCGTTGCTTAGTTTTTGTTTTATAGGCAAAATAATAACTAATTTTTGGTCGAAAAATCACTATGTTATGTTCAAACGTCCGCCATTTTGTCATAAATCGATATTTTCAAAATCGGCTATGACAAGTATTAGACTATAGTCTTTAATATAATAATCTTTTTGGT